CAAAGTAAGTCTACAAAATGGCTTCTGCATTTTAAGCTGAAATTATTTATGTGCTTTTAGAGATGTTTGTGTTTATATATATATTTATATATATACACAAGCTACATAATATAGTTTTATATATAAATATACAACTACAGTACATCAAGCATAGAACTTCAAGACCCCTCATACTTGCACATTGTCATAAAAATAAAGTATAGAAATAACACATTTCCTAAAATATCCTAGTTATATAACTTTGGTACTCTTTTTATCCTTTTGAGGTGTAAATTCAGAATAGGTATTCAGTCCAAAGCAGAGTGTTTCGCACTATCATGAATTAAAAGACCAAGGCACAGCCATGGGTGAACCTGCCTACAGCTCATGCTCTTTTGAGGACTACTGGTCCTCTTTGTCTCCTCCCTATTCCATGCCCCTTCAGCTTGCCCACTGCTTGAGCAAATATTCCCACCACTGACTGCTGGAAGCATAAAGCAGGGCAGAAATGCAAAGCTCAATGTGCAGTGTTGAAACTGGGTGGAGGTCAGGTGGTTTGTGTTGCCATCCACCAGGGATGAATGTGAAGTGGGGCAGGAGCTGCATGATCTCGTTCTTCTTCTTGATATCAAGAAATATTCTGTATAACACAACTGCAAAGAATGGATGCTTTTGCACAACTGCTACCAAGAACACTTTCCTACCAAGAAATATTCCCACAAAGAACAGACAGTTTGACCACAGTCCCACCTACAGCACTTTGCACAATAGTAGTTAATAAGGTATAGAATGTACCCTGATTTCCCACCTAACTGGGGAATGAGAGTCTGACACAAAATTGTAGGGACAGACTGTTCATCCTCCCCATTCTTCCCAGAAGGGACACCTTTTGGTAAGGCTCGCGTCCTTGGCCACACCAAGTGTTTTCACTCTGGAAATTAAGCTTGTGATTGCAATCGTTTTGTTAGTTTATATACAGCTGTTCTGCAGTTAATGCATTTATCATTAGCAATTCAAAAGAACTGCATATGTTGCATTTAATAACCTGCGCTATTTGAAACCTGACTGCCTTGCTTGAATGTCACCAGGCCTGTAGTTAAGAGACTATTCATGAACCTCATATCAGACCTATAGTTATGTCTTTACAAGACTGCGTGGTGCCAAAAAATGGCTCCAAGTCTGCACCCACCTAATTTCCTGCTGACTTAGATTTGCTGTGAAAGAAAAAAGTCTATAGGAAAGGAAGCCAGTGTGCTGTAGAAAGGTTTAATGCGCTCTGATCATGTCCAAACTTTCTAGAGAAGTCCGACTGCATTGATTACTATTATGTTGAAAGGTTAAATTTTCTTACTGTTGTTGCCGAAACCAGTGACCTGACCTTCGTCTCACTGTCAGATTAGGCAACACTGGATGCTGAGCAATGCCATATACAGTCACAGTTGTTCTGTACCGCTTTCACTTTCAGTTCAGTCTGTGGCAAGTCAGAGGTGGAATGAAATCTACTCTGAGTTAGTGTTTATAGAAGACTCAAAGAGCCCAAGTAGAATTGATTGGAACTTTTAAAAACATTTTCCACAAAACAAAAAACAAAACCAAAACACACATACAAAACAAACAAAACGCCCCAAACAAAAACAAACAAACAAACAAAAAACCCCCCCACATATAAAACCTAAGCCAGAGGATTTTTTTTGAAATTTCGGTGCAGAAACATTGTGGTTTGAAGAAATGAGGAAATAAAAAGCTTTCTCTCAGCTTTGCTTCTCCATAGTTGCCTAATACCAGATGAAGCTCAGTTACACATTCATACTGGTAACTCCTTGAGCCAGATTTGAAGAGACTGGAAGAACCACAAGTTGTTAAGACAACTTTTAAGATAGAATGTGATGTAAAATTATTTTTCATGCCTGTGTGAAACTGTTTAGGCCTGTCCACTTCTCTATAAAAGGCTGCCAGTGACTTTAGTGGTGCAATGGTGGATCATTTCTTCTTATGTAATATGTGAGTTTCTCATTATTCCCGGTTTTCACCAATGTGATTCTGGGTAAGAACTGCAAGAAGAAATACATGGAAAGAGTCTTCTTATAAGCTTAGAAAACAAACACGATCTTACCTTTGGATCATTTTCAAGCAAGTGTGCTAATCTTTTCAAGTTTAATTGGTCATAGTTCACCCTGTAGTATCCAGTTAAATTTACATTTAGCAGGATCCAGTCATATTCTGACTCCAATACTTGCATTTCAGGAAACACTTCTGTGAAGTGACATTAGAGTATATAATTTTATTTTCTAAGCACTAAATTGTCTTGCATTTATAAACACTAGACTTGGTGCTCCTCTGAGATCTGAGGTGGGAGTTTGAGGCTGGACTCAAAGAGAACCCCTCGAAAGCTCAGTGCATTTGTGATCTCTGCTCTGCTCAGCGGAAGAACTTCAACTAGCCACTGACTCCTCTGGTACTGAGCACCTTGAAATTGCAAAGGGGAGGCTGAAGACCCATTTTGCTCCTACCCTTTAGCTCATAGGCAGCTGTGAGAGTTCAGAAAATTTACCCAAGAACAAACTCTCTGGATGGGAGCAATACCCTCTCATGCCTGCTGTAGGGCATGCGCCCTCAGCACACCTGTTGCTCCCAGTGCTGCTCTAAAACACAGTGCTCCATACTTTACAGAATAACTGATCTTACCAGTATTCACATAAATGGACATCCAAATCAAAACAGATAGTGCATTTCAAAGAGCCAGTGAAGCCTTGAAGGGTCTAAGCTGCCTCATCAGAAGAGTATTCAAATGCTGGTTTAACTGGCTACAGTCATCCTGATTTGAGAAGACAAACTCTTAAGACAGTAAGTCAATACTGGTGAGTAGTCTAGACCCAGCACTGCTTTATTCTGAACAGAAGGCTGAGACCTCAATGTTTAGACAAAGCAAGTATCACAGGATTCATCCTGTATTCAGAGAAGTGCACATCCCTTTTCTGTTTATTTACTTGTCTGTATACTATGAAATTAATGAACACTCAAGCTATCCTGTTATCTAAAAAAGAAGGGAATTAACTTCTAACCACTGCAAACAGAGGATGAAGAGCTGCAATACACACATAGTGTATTGTAGTTTTTCTTCCTAAGCATTCCAATGCATTAGTCTCTGCATCTCTTTGTAACTGATCTAAAACCTGAAGGAGTCTGGGGCTGACTTAACAAAGAATATGATTACCCCATTCTAAAGATTACATTTCTTCTTTTCTTCTTCTATAAAAAATATAGCTGTTTATTGGAAAGCACTGAGTTGGGAAAGAACAGAATTTTTTATTTGATTGGAGATGCCCATAAACTCACTTTTCTAATATAAGACTTTTAAACTTTTTAACATCTTACTCTTTTGATGAGTATTTTTTCATTTAATTTGCATAAACAAATTAAATTAAATGGTGTTAAAAATATTAATTTTCTGTTGTTACAGATATTCATGTGGAATTATGTTGAGTCACTTCCCACAGCTGGTTTTAATTTTTTCAGTTTTGTATCTACTCCATGAGCTGAAAATTTTCTGGTATTTCACAGCTGAAATCCTATCTATACTCAAAACCTGGCATTAACATCAATGGAATCTGTTGGGGTAAGAATAATACAGAAGCCTGAGGTCCTAGGAGTTTGAATTTACGTAAAAAAAAAATGACAAAATCAAAATTACTGTGGAAATCTCTACTCATAATATGTGTTGTACCATATTATTAAAAACATACATTGAAGTTTGATGCAACATAGGAAAAAACCCCATTATATTGACCTAATTGAAAATCTACTGGTATTGTAACACAAAATCATCACAATGGATAAAGATAAACATTTCTGTATTAAAGTTTTATCTCCCTATTAAATTCAAATATATCCTCTGTTTATAGAAGAGTTTGGAGTGGTTTTGTTAGTTTGATTCTAGAATGTATAAACAAATACATTACTCACTGCTGCTTTTATCTAGCCACATTAAGGGTTGTGATGATCCATTTCTCATCCAAGAAATAGGAATAATCCATGTGTTACTTAACAAAAAAAAAAGATATAATAAGATTAAATCTTATGCTTAAAAAAACCCTTTTTAGCTCATGCTAAATGGCATTGCAAATTAGTTCCTTGTTACAAGAATATCCATCTATCTTGTCTCCTCTCTGATGCATGAAACCTCATCAGATGGTAGTACTAAATGCTGGGTCAGCATTTAGATTCATCATAAGGGAATTTTAGCATGGCTTTAAATAGGCACTCATATCAACAATATTGTTCAATGCTAGGTATTTGAATAGCATTGTCTCTCTCTGCTCTCTTTCCCTCTTCAGGCAGTAATTGTCCTCACCTATTACACTTCATCCTATTTCTGGAGAACTTAAAGCTGCTTTTCAGAAGGGTATCTACTAAAACAAAGCCCCATGCAAGCAACACAACTGTGATTCAAACAACTCTAATTTCTTTTCTGATGAAATATAAAGCTCCTGGTGAAACAGATGAAAGCTTCAAACCCCTTAAATATTCCACAATACATGCCCTGAATTTTCTTACATTCACCTGGTAATTTGCTTTTGTTAACTGTAAAGGACTTCATAATTGTAACTTGGAATTTCTTATCTGAGATAACCAAAAATACTGGATGGACTAATGCTCTGCAATTCCTGGAGCTTGGGAGGAAAAGGAAATTCTGTGGCTTTTGTCAAAATTTATTTGCCTATTTGTACCTTTACACTTTTCCCCCACGTGATCTCATTGGTTCCTTCCATGCACCTCAATACTCATGTCATCTGCTGAATTTCGTGAGCGTTCAAACTCTAGCCAGGAGTTTCCAAAGTGGGTCACCAAAGGTAGCTCCTTCTATCACCATTTTTAGACACCTAAACAAGCAGCACAGCTTTCAAAAGGCACTCAGCAATGCTCACTGACAGGAGCTCTAAACTGCACATCAGTTATCAGCACTTTCTGAGAAAGGGGCCAATTACAAAAGTATTTAAACGCAACCCTTTTATCCTTGTCAGGAGGAAGAGGCTGGGAACATGTGCACTGGAAAGAAGCTACAGCATGGTTCATCCAGATTCCCAGTCTGTAGACCTGAGGGATGAGGAAAGAAGAAAATGCCAAGCAAAAATCCTGCCTGTAACATATTCAGGATCTGTGTTCGTTGTTACTATTATGTGGCTGGAAAAGTCACTATTCCAGAGGAAAGCACTCTTTTGGCAAAACAAGCAGAGTTTGAACTATTGCAAGGTCCACTCTTAAACAGATTTTACTTAACGGCTCACAACAAGTGAAAAATCAACAAGTAAGTAAATCAACAAGTTAAAAAAATCAGATCATCAAAACATAATGTGCTAACTGAACAGTTTCCTGAAAAAACGTGGTATAAGCATACAAGGAAAACACAAGCTAAACATACTTGTTAGGATCAGTACTCCTTCTATTCTTTTTATTAATGAATTGTTCCTGTGTGATTGTTCCAGTGGTTATATTTAATGTTAAAACTGGAAACCCATTTTGGCATGTCCAGGAATCCATTATTTGCTTTACAGATGCTGGCAACTGAACTTCATCCTGTGCATCTATGACCTGCAAGAGAAAGAGGAATGAGAAATATTTATGATAAACAGCTACTTATTGACATTTCTTCAGCAACACTTTGAGAGTTGTTCTAACATACCAGAGAAAATAGCTGCTTAGCAGTTTGATGGTCTTTGGCTTATGCAAAAAATAAATGTAACAAAGTCCCAAGGACATTTTTGACATTATAATAAAGACAGCATAAGCCTTTTTCAGGAATTATGAAATACTGAGATATTTCTCATTCTGTAACCTGACTGCTAACTTTTCTCTTTTTAGTGTTAATACACTTACAACCCCTGTATGGCTATGACAGACTTGATTTGTTAATTTCTTTCAAATAAAGCTACCAGAACACAAAGATTTTTAAGTGTCCTAATGAACAAATTGAATAGTGAAGACAAATTGAAAAAGATACTGAACTAGAGTCCAAACTAGTGTGAATTGATGCAGTCTTCACTGGTTTCAGAGATGTGATAAACTTGCACATCTGAAATTGTAGGACTCTCATTCTTAACTTAAGCCAGCATCTACAACACAATAGAAGCCTTCTTTAGAGGAACAGGAAAGTGGATTTTAAAAAAAATAAACCTATTATTAGGATTTGTGTTCTCAATCAGATTTCTGTGAAAACCATCAAAGAATGAAATGCTGAGCTGCTGCCCTGAGTATAAACTTTGCTGGATCTGTGACATATCAGCATCTCTGATCATCAAGCCCAGGACATCACACACTCTGATCTGACAAAACTTAAGCTCCAGAACAACAGGCTATGCAATTTCACGTAGGCTTATGCAATCACCATGGAACTCAAAACTCAGCCTCCCCATCTCATCTCTCTATTCCTTGTACTTAGTTCCACTGATCTCAGGTGCAGTAAAGCAGACAAATAAGCACTTGAGAGGACATTAGCTGAAAAAATCAGCAAAGTAAACTTCATGTGAGAGAAAGACTGCACTAGGGATAGTCACATTCTAGTGCAGCCTTCTACAAATAGTATATACCCCAAATTTGGACTGTGCCAAACACCAGAGAAAGAATTCTAGAGATATAAAATAAGTACCATCTGGATGTGGGTCCAGAGATCATCTTGATTAGCATTTGAGAAGGAAAATTCTTTCAGATACAACTGTGCAGAAACAAAGAGAAGCATCAGAATTCATGAGGGTTCAATGAAAACCATCAGCAAGGCAAACAGCAATGTGTACAATTGTCATTTTCAAGCTCATAAATCAAGATGAGGGGGTTTCTTTTCAAACTTACAGTAAGTGCTCTGATGAACAACTTTTCAGTCAGGAAACCAGAAAGCATCCAGGTTATAGAAGCTCCCTGGAGTACAAAAAAAAAACCAAAAAAAAGCATGAGAAAAAAAAGAATTATTATTGCAATTTTTGTTGAAATATTTCTTCAAACTGTATTTCAGAGAAGTTAGTCAGGCTACTCCTACACTTCATATTTCACAGAGGTTAAAGATGCTTCCACCATTTCCTTTGTAGCCAAATAAATAACAACACCCAATAAATTTGTGCGTACAGCAGAAACGACTTTTGAATGACAAAACAGTTCTGTTCAACGGTTCCTCTCAAACCTACTTTGTACTATTAATTTAGAATCTGTGAGAAATGGAAAGAATTTTATATTTTTTAACCTTGTTGTATGTGATGCTGTCAAACAGAGATGTTAAAGAAAATGATCCTTTGATCTTGTCTTCGCTCTCTGACAGTGATCGAATTATTTCACTGTCTTCCCTTAAGACAGGTTGCACAACATGATCATAAAAGATTTTATCCTGCAAGAAAAAGAAAAATCTAGGTGAGCTGATCAGAAGATACTAATTCTCAGGAGACAACATGGAATTAGCACTATTACAAATCGTTTGTCCATAAGCAAGGAATGATCCTCTTCCCCCACTCTCTAACTTTCTCATGAAGGACAAGGGACAACATACCTGATCCTAACATTTTCCACATGCAACATCAGTAATTAAAGAAAATTTTGCATCTGAGAATACTGTGGGCTTGGGCCTGACAAAGTCAGTTACAGTGTAATGCTCAAGGACAAATAAGTCAACTATACTAAACAGCAGAACAAATACTGAAAACTGAAAGCCTGTATCTCATTTACATCTGTATGCCACGAATATGCCAGCACGTTCCTCCTAAATTCCATGTTTCTCCTTCTGCAACCCTAACCAACAACCTAAAACCTAAGCTACTGAGGGTACCAAAGTTATGAGGCATTTCTGCTGTCACCCAGTGAGAAATATGGAGGGAAAATGGCTCCTCAGGAGTAAATGCCATCTACCATGGTCAACAGTTCACAGTCCCAATGGAGATCAGTGACAAGTGGTGTCCCTCAGGGCTCTGGTTTGGGACCAGTGCTATTTAGTAACTTCATCAATGACGCAGACAAAGGAATTGAGTGTGACCTCAGTAAGTCCACTGATGGCATGAAGCTGAATGGTGCAGTTAACACAACAGAAGGATGTTATGCCATCCACAGAGACCTGAACAAACTTGAGAAGTGGGCCCATGGGAACCTAATGCAGTTCAACAAGACCAAGTGCAAGGTGCTGCATCTGAGTCAGGGTAATCCCGGATGTGATTACAGACTAGGAGACGAACCACCGAGACCCATCATGTGGAGAAGGACTTGGGGGTTCTCATGGACAAAAAGCTGTATGAGGCAACAGGAGTCACTGGCACCCCAGAAAACAAACCCCATCCTGGACTGCCTCAGTCCAAGTGTGGCCAACAGGTCAAGGGAGGTAATTCTGCCCCTCTACTCTGCTCTGGTAAGAGCCCACCCGGAGTACTGCCGCCAGCACTGGGGTCTTCAGCACAGGAAGGACATAGATCTGTTAGACTAAGTCCAGAGTGGGACCACAAAGATGATCAGAGGGCTGGAATACCTCTTCTATGAAGACGGGCTGAGAGAGCTGACATTGTTCAGTACTGAGAAGCATCCAGGAGACCTCATTGCAGCCTTACAGTACCTAAAGGGGACTTATAAAAAAGAGGAAAAGCAACCTTTGACACAGGAATGACAGGAGAAAAGGGAAAAAATTTAAATTAAGGAGGAGAGATTTAGATTAGATCTTGGGAAAAATTCTTTACTGTCAGGGTGGTGAGGGGCTGGAACATGTTGTCCAGAGAAGTTGTGTACCATCGCTGGTACTGTTCAAGGCCAGGTTGGAGGGGGTTTTGAGCCACCTGCACTAGTGGAAGGTGTCCCTGACCATGTCAGGAGCATTGGAATTAGACAATCTTAAAGTTACTTTCAAACTCAAGCTCTTTTATGATTTTGTGATAAATCAGCGAAGTTGTCTTTTTGTCAAATGATGATTCAGTTTCCCCTAGCTGTCTTAAGACAGAATGGAAAATAACATAATTACAAAGATAAAGACAGAAACCCAATTTTTTTAAACACTGTAGGCCACTTTGAGCACTTCTTTTCCAAGGAGAAGATCACAGTCTTCCAATTAATGGCATCAAAGTTGTTGACCAACTTTTCTCCTTGTAAACAGCCAGTAAATTTTATTTTCAGAGTTCAATTTGAAGTTGAACATGAGCCAGCAATGTACCCTTGCAGCAAAGGCTAATGGTATCCAAGGCTGCATTAGAAGTAATACTGCCAGCGGGTTAAAAGAGATGATCCTTCCCCTCTACTCAGCACTGATGAGGACACACCTGAAATGCTGGGTCCAATTCTGAGCTCCCAAGTACAGAAAAGATATAGAGCTACTAGAGAGAGCTTAGCAAATGTCACAAAGATGGTGAAGGGACTGGAGCATCTCTCTTATGAGGAAAGGTGGAGAGAGCCAGAACTGTTCAGCCTGGGGAAGAGAGGGCTCAGAGGGATCTTATCAATGTATATATCTACTTGAAGGAAGGCTGCACAGAGGACAGAGTCAGGCCCTTTCCAGTGACAGGACCAGAGGCAACGGGCATACACTGAAACACAGGAAGTTCTCTCTGAACATCAGAAAACACTTTTTCATTGTGAGGGTGACCGAGCACTTGCACAGGTTGCCATGAGAGATTATGGAGTCTCCATCCTTGGAGATATTCAAAAGCTGTCTGGACACGGTCCTGGGCAACTGGCTGTTGGGTGGCCATGTTTGAGCAAGGGCGTTGGACAAGATGACCTCCAGAGGTCCCTTCTAACCTCAGCCATTCTGTAATTGTGAATGTATATGGCCCACAAAACTGCACAAGAAAGACCTGTATTCTCACACCTGTGTGATTTACTCTGGATTTCCTAGAGGCACATCACCTAATTGTAATTTATCAAATAGAATTACTGCCCAATATAAAAGTTTACTTTATGGACACAAATGTCAATTGTTGATTTCTAGAAAGGCAAACCTCTAAATTAAAGGTTTAAAATTAAAAAGAAGTCAAGAATCTATTTCCAATTTAAAATCTGGTGGCTTTTACACTTTTCAGTGGTATTAAAGGCTTTTCCTTTCTTCGGAAGCTGAGGGCACTATATAGACATTTAAGATTGCACAGGCAAGTGCACCTCATGTCATGACTGCAATTAGCAGCAACTATCCACCTGTCTCAAGAGTTTAACAATGCATGGATTTTGCTAATATACTACAGGATTTATGCTTATTCCCACTTGGGCAGAACAGGAAGGAATTTTACCCTGCTCTTGGATTAGCTATGTGCATTATATTTGCCTTATCTACAACCAGACATCCAGGGACCCAGTAGGGTAAACAGACTCAAAACAAACCACCTTAATTACTGTGTCATAAAGATACCTGAGGCACAGGACGCTTGGAAAAGAGCTTGGCAGGCAGGGAGGCAAACTATCAGCTACAACAGGACCCAGGAGAGAAATCTGGGTTTGCTACATGACAGATCCAGCACAAAACACCAGCTCCTTGTCACTGCAGAATCACAGCTGTCCACCTGTCCTCTGCATCAGCTGTAGAAGAGCTGGGTATGGTCATGGCCCCCCAACAGATGGAAACTTATCAAGGAAGAATCAAGACCTACTGGAGTTAAGTTACTAATAACACTGTTTAATTAAATCCCATCTCCTACGTCTTTGTTACGTGGTGGAACTTTGCATGTAAGCATTAGTACTTACCAGTGAAAGCTTGGGGTCAACAAAGGTAGCTCCCAGGTACTCAAAGTAAGATGCCAGTCCCTCATTAAGCCACAGATCATTCCACCAGTTCATTGTAACCAGATTTCCAAACCACTTAAATAGAAAGAAAAAGTATCTCAAAGTGTCCTTGGTCTGCTCTTCTCATTTTTTTGCAGATTAAGTACACATACTTATGATGAAGTAACTTTATTTATTGTGTACATGTTAATTGAATAAATTGCTGAATAGTCCTTCAGATAGTGAAAATTCAGTAGGAAAACATGTACCTTCGAAAAAGTCAGACATTCAGGGCAATTATTTTTAAATCGCTTCATCTACAATTTCATACCAGGAGTGTGGATCTCAGTGCTTTATGTCATTCTTTAAGGATATTTCATTTCAAACACTTGTCAATATAATTTAAATATCTAAAATATCATTTCAGGCTATGATTAAAAGTAAGGCATTTATCAAACAATTAAAAAGACATTTTTCCATGTTCTTAACAGAATGAAATTGTCAGAGGAATGGTAAACAAAATAACCATTTCCAAAAACAGCAAATCCCTATCCTGGCAAGTATAAAATTTCCACAACATCTGCTGTGTACTCATATTTGGCAGTTCATATTTAACAAAAACTGATCACTTGTTGATTTATATTTTATTTACTAATTCTTAAAAACCTGAACTACAACTTTATTTTAAAACGGAGTTTTGTTAAGTATTGACATTTATTTTATAGGTCTACAATAAAAATACTGCTCATCTGAAGATCTGAAAAGTTACAGACCTTGTCAGAAAGGCATACAAGTGCACTAGCCAAGCTAAACTCTTTTACTAGCTTTGTTGACCAAGTGCAAAGAGTTGTTGCTCAGGCAAAAAACAGTAAATTAAAGATAGTCAATAAAGAAGTGAAACTGCATTATCATTTCAAATCAAGTGAGAAAAAATTTGAAAATCTCTGTGAAAGCTGGACAAAGATACAGTTACAGTTCCATGTTAATTTTGTTCTATCATACCATAGGCTTTTTCTTACAGAAAAAGAAATACTTTTTGCAATATGCACACACACTGCCACTACAAAAAATACTGACGAACTCCATATAGTTCTCCCACCAAAGTAGTAAGTATACTGTATAGAGAGAGTACTGTGTTATCCCCACACCCTTGAGTGGTATTCAAGTCCTGTGTAAGAAAAAAACAAGTAGCCCATTAACAGTTTTGTATCAGTGAGTCCTGTGCAATGTGTACAGCCTGTAATATGACAGCACCTGCTTTTAATATTGTTTTATCAGCGAAACATACGATTAAATAGGCTTTCAGTACTCTAGTGCTCACACCCCCTACTATCAAGTAATTATTTTCTTCTACTAATCAGTGACTGCATCATCAGCAACTGGAAGGAAAGAATATCATAGATAAATAAATGCACAGAATTTTTTACCACATGCCTGGTGTCCTAGCTCATGTGACACAATTAAGGCAATCATTGCCTTTCTGCTGGCGAATTTATCGCTCGGGAGGTACATCAATGTTGATTCTTGGAAAGTCACTAGCCCCCAGTTTTCCATACCACCTGCTCCAAACTCAGGCAGTGCAACCAGATCTAAATCGATTCAAACAGACAAAAAAAAAAAAAGGTATCTTTAACACTTTGAAAATAAAGGGATCACATGATTTTAGTTCTCACACTGATTCAACGTCCAATTAAAGGATACTACATTTTAGTGGTTCTTTGTGGTATTATGTCAAAATTTGCCAATGGTCTCTGAAGTTTCTTCTTGTCACACTTTTCACCTGTGATTGCCATTCTTTCAGGAAGCCACATAAATTCCCACAAAGCCCAGATCTGTACTGTATCTTGTACATGCAAATGTTCTGACTGAAAATGAAGGCTAGGAGAGAATATATTCACTGATGGCTGTCAGAAATCTTTTTCTGACTTGAGTTTCTCCCATGTTTGGAGAAGATTACACTTATCTTTATCTTCAGCCTAGCAACAGATAATAATAAAAAAAATCTTGCTCTTTCAGTTGTGTGAGTAGAGATATCCTTTCTACTCTTCTTTGAAAGGCACCTTAGAAACATCATCTCTTTTTTTTACACAATACGACTGTTACCTCTGTATTGCCCTTCTGCCTTATGCACAGAGAACAGTTTTCCAGTTCAAATGTGAGAGCTGGACAAAAAATCAGGGTCTCAAAGGAAGAGACTGTTTAAAGAGTTTAAACTTGGCAGCAAAAATCAAAATCTGGAAAAAGTATACCAAGCATTTAGAAATTGACACAAGCTTGTATTCCAAATTAGGGAACTATGAGAAAGCTCCAGTCCAAAAGCTAGACAAGTAATGAAAGCATGGTGCTGAACCCCAGCACAGGCAGACTGATCTCAGCTACATCTCACCTTGAGTCTACAGCAAAAGTAATTCACTTTTGGTGAGACAGCCCTCATCCAGCCAGCTTGGGGCAACCTTATAATTGCATTAAAATCAGGTGAAGACAAACCCTAAAACATCCCTGATTTTAAATGTGTTTATTCTTAATCTCACATTCTGAGTTTGCAAAAGAAATCTCTAGCATTTACAATGAGCTACTCTTGGTTGATCTAATCCTACTGATTTTTAGGCAAAACTTCTAATAAAGACACTGGGAAATCCAGTGGATATTCCAAGGCATTACAGTCAGGACTGTAATGGTATTACAGCCTTCTGCGAAACTGAAATCTTTCCTAACAGGAAGTCTACCATACTGTTCTTCTACTTCATTTTTGTAATAGTTTTATATTAATTAATTAATGTGTCAACATTGCTGATAAACAAAAGAACACAAGCATGAAAAAATATCATCTACAGCCCTTGAGCAGCTTGTATGATTACTAAGATCAGAAAAATTAAGAAGTGAAGACTGCATATAATATATTTTTCACAAGAAGGGTAGTGAGAAATTCCGCAAGTTAATAGAAATACACTGGGAGATAATACATTTACACAGAATAACATTTATTTCTTTCAAGTGCCAAAATACAGATTTGACAAGTCAGCAAATTATTCAGTCAAGAAAAGAAGGAAATTCTTTCCCCCCAATCCTGTAATCTGCTAAAATCATGGACAGTTTCAAAACTCATTTCAAGTAAGAATTGCTTTCTGTGCTCCCAATATTTTCCTAATATCTATAAAAGAGCCCATTTCCCCATAATATTCATGCTGAAACGCTTGGGAATCCAAGTGCAAGTAACAAACAAACTTTACAGTGAAATTACATGATAGCATCCTTCCTTCTTGACTGAAATTTGACTTAACTGACTTATCTGTTGTCCATTTTAAGCAGAAACAATGTTTTTCTGCAGGAGACTTTTTTTCTGGGGAGGAACGTGCGGGAGGAACATACACACAACTCACAGGTAAGACAGGGGGACATACCAAAAAAAGCAAGGAATGCTTTGGGGGGACACATGTTATTAGAGCAAACATGGATCTACTAGGAGGACATAGGAACTACAACATCCTTACATGTTATGGTCTATGCATCCCAGAAATAGCCACATGACTGAAATACTTCTTTCTACCCACTTTGTTGTCCCAACTGCCCCTTTATTAGGAAATTATGCTTTAAAAGAATGAGTAGGATGTGAAAGTAAGAATGCTGAGTTACAGATTAATAAAAGCCATGATGCAGAAAGGAAAATTCAGTGAGTTAAAGTTTAGGTGGTGTATTCAATGGTACAGAATGTAGTAAGCTGTAAAAGGAGAATACTGCAAAAGAACACATTGCTTCTGTGAATGGTATATCATCAGCAGCCATTTCTTGTTCCTTTCAGAAAATAAGTCATCTCACCTGTCTTTGGCAGAGGGTAGCTGATGTTAAGTACATCTTCCAGAAATGAAAATATTGGACCAATGATACTTAAAGCATAGTCAAGATATCCATTTCCAATTGCTTCTTTCCGAGCCCAAATACGTATCTGCAATAAAACAAGGAAGAGTTCGTTTAAACAACCCTCATATTTTCATTCTCTTTGTTTCTCTTTTGTGAATCATTGTTGGAAAAAATGCTGTCTGTCCACACCAAATCATGCAACGAAGCTTTTAATTTAATCTTTAAAAGAAACCAAGTTTTACTGGACCTAACAAAATGTGTCAAAGAACATGCTCCTGCTAAAACCTAGGAGAGTTCCGGTACTTTGAAAGGATGAAGATTTGAATCCAACTATATGTTGTTGGAACAAACAATCTCATAGTTTTTCTTTTATTAAGTGGAAAATACTGTAAAACTATATAGAATCACACATCTTAAGCCAATGTATGCCAGCCAGTGAGTTTGGGTGATAAGCTCTCTTTTAGCCCACCTAATGAGAGAGAAATGAACTTCTAGAGAGTGTTTGCAGTCCAAAGATACACATCTCTCCTCTTGAACTTTCTCACAGCCTGAAACAGACCACTGGCCTCCCTCTCTGCTAAGGAGAGCAGATGGCATCTGAGCAGAGAACATCTGTACCTCTGAGTAACAGAAACTGCGACCACAAGCAAAGCTTTCCCCTCCTCTGCCCTTTTGTTTTGTACTGGAAAGGACAGCTCCTTGCTCAAGAGTGATGGAGTAGGCTTAGAAAAGGTTTGTCTCCACCATACATTTCTGAATGAAAGACCCCCTCCACGTGCCTATCAGCTCAAAACCTCGACATTTCTTGCATCTAAGTGCTATACATGGTCTCACAAGAAGCTGCACAGCCAAACGCTAAGAGCACAGTTGGGAAGCACTGGGATTTAATTTATAAGGGAAAAAAAAATTAGCATATTCAGCCAATGCGGTGTCCTCAACCTCTGAGGCCCTCTTTTCAGCCAAGGCTTCAGAGGAGATTCAAAGACCAGATCACTTAATTTGCAAAACCTAAACATCTTAA